TATTGTGTGTACTGTATATATTTAAATCAATTAATATATCTACATTTGTAATTTTCTTAATCTGTGACCCGTTGACCTGACGGGTCGGGTCGGGTCAAATGTTAAAAGTTCGAGTCGGGTCGGGTTGAACCACTGACCCGACCCGACCCGACTCGTTCGGAGCTCTAGTGAAAATAAATTCGAAATTCGTGTCACATGAAGTTTTTTAAAATATCTCGTTATTTTTATAATAAACTCGAACTTCGTTGTTAGAGTAAAATGAAATTACTCCATTAAAGCTTTCTAATGAACACTCTTTCATATCAAAAGGTCTTCTCCACATGAATTCACGGCTATTCAAAAACGGTATTACTTTTTCACTTCAAAGCTCAGATTATTTCTCAATATTGCTTTCAAAGACTTGATAGTAAATGAGAAGGTGTAGAATACTTTAAGCTTTCATATGGTTATTACTTTATGGGGGGGTATTGGTTAATAAGTTTTAGAGAGGTTCACAAAAAGCTATTTTATAGAAATTTAATAGTCATGAAGAATTTTTGTAGATGGGATTCAGCAAAAACTAAAAGGTATTTTATTAGATTGTTTTATATTTCTGACTTTATATTGATTAAAGTTTCATTAATGATTATTATGAATATCTATCAATCAGTAGTTGTTATAGCAACATTAAACAATAATATTAGTAGCAATAAATAGCAAACGACGATAACGAATCATTGTTTTTTGAGGATGATAATAAAGATTAAGATCCAGTTTGTGTAGGAGTGATCGAAGTAAGCATTAAGGACAACAAGATCTATGAATAAAATATAATAATGAACGTTTTATTAATTATTCAATAGTTTGTGTAGGAGTGATTGAAGTAAGCATTAAGGACAAGATCTATGAATAAAATATAATAACAAATGGAGTGATTGAAGTAAGCATTAAGGACAAGATCTATGAACAAAATATAATAACAAATGGAGTAATCGAAGTAAGCTTTAAGGACAAGATATATGAACAAAATATAATAACAAACATTTTATTAATTATTCAATAGTTTGTATAGGAGTGATTGAAGTAAGCATTAAGGACAAGATATATGAACAAATATACTAACAAGCGTTTATTAATTATTCAATAGTTTATATAAGATCTATGAACAAAATATTCTAATGAACGTTTATCAATTTGTGTAGGAGTAATCAAAGTAAGCTTTAAGGACAAGATCTATGAACAAAATATTCTAACGAACGTTTTATTAATTATTCAATAGTTATTTATAAATTTCTTTTATTTTAACTTATATTTAATAACATCATATGACAAATAATTAAATGAGTAAAGTCAGAGATAAAACACCTTTTAATTTAATCATTATTGTTGCTTGTTTATTATTATAATTATTATTTATGTATATACTGTAGGTAAAGAAAAACTTTACTGTCTATTTATTTATTATATTACTTTTAAAATAAATGATTTTATACTATAAAAACATACCTAAGTGATCAAAAATCTACAAATATTCATAATAATGTAATATTTGGACATTTATTTCTACTTATACTTGCAATTGGACGTGTCAAACAAAATTTTAGATATATGAATATAAAGGCAAAATTTGACTTTGAGGGTCAGATTATTTTCGGTTTTATTAACAACCTGCTTTAAAAATTTTCTTAATGCAGGTACATATGATAAAGAAGTTATATTTCAAATTTGGCGGTGGTTGCTACACAGCAAGGGTATTAAATGGGGATTAGAAGTCACTTGATTGTAAAATTTTACTATGTAAATTCGAATTTTACTATGATGCAGATCATCAAAAATTTACTATATATATATGTTTTACAACTCCCTATTGATCTGCGTGATATGTCCTGTGACTGATATTTTTTTTTACTTTTAGTAATGATCATTATTTTTATAAAATAAACCAATCACAAGCCTGGGCGTAAAAAAAAATCTAAAATTCAATTCATAAAAAAGATCATTTGATTCAAAACTTTTCTCAATACAATAAAACTATCACAATACCTATAAAATTGTTTAGAAATATGTCTCAAGATCAAACTTGCTTAGATTACTTTAAAAATACCAAGGATTGGAGTTTGTCGAGTTTTATAGTATTCCAAATAGAAAAGGGACAAGATAAATGCACCACCAACTCTAAGTACAAAAGATTGTTGAAACATTTTCTCACATTTGGAAACAGCGTTGAGAAAAAAAGGGCAAAAAAATTCATGGAAATATTTGAAGTAAATCTTTTCCTTTTTTTTTTAAAAAAAATTTTAGCCTATGTGATGTGATTTTGTTTTGTGTGTGATTCGAAAACTATTGCCCTGCTTTGTCAGTTTCGCAGATGTTCTATGAGATTTAAAGAGCACTTGCCCTGCTTTGTCAGTTTCGCAGGTGTTCTGTGGG